CACACACACACACACACACACACACTCACACACACACACACTGTCACACACACTGTCACACACGCACACTCACACACACACACACCCACACACCAGTCCCTCGGGATCTGCTGAATGAATGAGTGTGTGGAGGCGTGACTGACGTGTGTTTTGTGCGCGTCAGTGTCTGTCTGAGGCTGCAGTTCCTCAAGCGGCGGAGAACATGTCGGGTGAAGCATCCAGTGAAGAAGACCCAGAGAACTACAGCGCCCTCCGCAGAGGAGTGGAGCACAAGAACAGCGACTGTACGCTGCGCAACAGAAAAGCTCACCCCTACAAGAAGCATTACACTGCTGAGGTAAAACACGCACACACACACACTCACGCACGCACACACACACGATCAGTGCTTCTGTAGGAGCACAAACACAGCCTCCTTCACTTCTCGTTTGGTCTCAGGAGACGCTGAAGTCGGGCACCAGCTGCAGCTCGCGGACGCAGGACTCTGAGAGCGCGCGGCACGAGTCCGAGACGGAGGATGTTCTGTGGGAGGACTTCCTGCACTGCGCCGAGTGCCGCTCCTCCTGCAGCAGCGAAACAGACGCCGACGGATCCGCAGCCTGTTCTGCCTCTAAGAAAGAGTTCAGAGACGACCCGTTTCATCAGGTGCGTCGTAGATCCACTGCTGCTGCCTCACTGGTTCAGATTTGTTGTGCTCGTGTAAATGATGTTTGTGTGTGTGTGTGTGTGTCGCTCTGCTGCTGGTGAAGGGTCACGTGCCGTGGCTCCACAGCTCTAATCCGGGCCTGGAGCGCGTCAGCGCCATCGTGTGGGAAGGAAACGAATGCAAAAAAGCAGACATGTCTGTGCTGGAAATCAGCGGCATGATAATGAACAGGGTGAGTGCGAAGCAGAGGAAGGAAGGCAGTGAACTGATAGAAATGCATTGAACGTCTCTGGATAGAAGCTTGTGCTAAATCATGATTACATGAAGCCCTGATCTCGTCCTCCTCTCGCCCGCAGGTCAATCTGTACACTCCAGGCATCGGCTATCAGATCTTGGGGAATCTGGTGTCTGTGACGCTGGGTTTGACTCCATTTGCGTACAGATTGTTCCAGCACAAAGAGCCGGAGCAGCTGGCGTCTCTATCGGCCGGTGAGCTGGTGTCTGTGGCCTTCGGCTCGTCCGCTGACGCTCTGGTGATGGCGATGGTGAGCGTGAGCTTCGTGGTGCGCGTCTGTCTCATCTGGCTCTTCTTCTTCTTGCTCAGCGTCGCTGAGAGGACATACAAGCAGGTGAGTGTGTGTCAGCATCCACACGCCGAGCCCGGAGCATCCCGAGCACAGCTCAGCATTTGTCTGATCCTGGTTTTTCAGCGGCTGCTGTTTGCGAAGTTGTTTGGTCACTTGACATCGGCGCGGAGAGCCAGAAAATCAGAGGTCCCTCATTTCCGGCTGAAGAAGGTGCAGAACATTAAGATGTGGCTGTCGCTGCGCTCTTACCTGAAGGTACGCAGCTGATTGAGCTCTCAGTTTAGTCCTTCATGAGACCTGATGCTGTGGCTAACGCTGGGATGATGTCCCATCTGTCTCTGTCTGCAGCGTCGAGGTCCGCAGCGCTCGGTGGACGTGATCGTCTCCTCTGCGTTTCTGCTCACGCTCTCGGTGGTCTTCATCTGCTGCGCTCAGGTCAGTCGCTGGATTAACTCCGTGTGTTTCTCTTGTGACTAGCGTGTTTTACTCCGGTGTTGATGGCAGTGTTTCTCCTGCAGCTGCTTCACGTGCACGAGACGTTTCTGGAGTTTCACTATAACTGGGAGCTGGTGATCTGGTGCGCCTCGCTGTCGCTGTACCTGCTGAGATTCGTCACGCTGGGCTCAGAAACCAGCAAGAAATACAGCAACACCTCCATCTTACTCACAGAACAGGTACAAACACACACACACACACACACACACACACGATACTGTAAAGACACACAAACATCCCAGAGTTTCATCAGATGCGTTTCTTTTCAGATTAACTTGTACTTGAAAATGGAAAAGAAACCAAATAAGAAAGAAGAACTCACTCTGGTCAACAACGTCCTCAAACTGGCCACCAAATTACTGAAGGTATCAGAAAACACACACTCACACACACCACACTCTCTCATCACACGCAAACTCACACAAACAGTCACACGCACACTCACACACACACACACTCACTCTCTCACACACACACACTCTCACACACACACACACACACACACACACACACACACACTCACTCTCACACACACTCACACAAACACACACTCTCTCACAGAGTGTGTGAGAGTGTGTAACACACACACACACACACACACACACAAACACTCTCTCACACACACACTCACTCTCACACACACTCACACACACACACTCTCACACACACACACACACACACACTCTCACACACACA